GCGGTGATATAAAATATCTGATTATAATATCATAATGGTATAAATCGAGTTACGTGGGAAAATGTAGGTCAGAGAATGTTTGATCGCGTTTGTCCCCGTCGAGTGGAATATTGTCTTCATTGGTTCGCGGTCCCTTTTGAATTTCATTTATTTACTTCGTTATCGTATATTCATTATACTCGGTTACGTAATCTATAACAACTTACTAATTTACAAATATCACGTTCGTTTTACTTTCTCGGCCGTAATTAACAAAGAGAATTGCTCGTCGTCAGTCAAAATTTTACTCTCATCAAAGCACTAATTCTTAGAAACTGTACTTTTTTGGTAGTAATTATCGTCCAAAGTCCAAAAGGAGAACCGTGTTTCTAACTGTAAATATTCTTTTTAGAATATTATACAAGGCGTCTGCTCAGCTAAATGGGATCACTCAAATATCTGCTTTAATTTTTCTCGTATGGAAATCCTTTTCAGGAGAAAATTGCACTGTTTCAAGGGGCATTTAATATGATTGTTGCACGGAAGACATTACGTGGGGTAGATTACACGAAAGTGAGAATGTTGAAGCAGTGGAAAATAATACACCGTAAAAAGGAGACTGGACAATGATAAAGAGGAGGTCTTGCAAAGAGCTCGCTACGACCAGTGAAAAATAATGTTCAATTAATACAGAAAAGTATCACTGGGTCATCCAAGCTGTAGGTGTTACATGGCACAGTTACCATATAACGTCTCTATTTTTGTCAACTCGTCACACTATTGATCACTTCTATAATGTCACAACATTTACCTTGTTAATGTGTGATCGATCATGAGTTACTTTTACCCGTTCGTCGTTTGAGGCTCATTCCATCCAGCGAATAGAGTCTTGATGCCATTCTTTTTGGACCTTTACGTATCACTATGCATGTATTTAAAACTCACCTAACCCAGTTTCATACTTCATCACCAATAGGTCTTTTGCTAGATAGTACAGAACACACTGTACACGTAAACAAAGTTATCGAATAAGAGATTAGAATTGCAGGTATTTTTAAGTTTCAGTAACTTGGATTATTTTTCTTTAGTTTACACGTCTTTTAACGATCAGTTTTAATAACTATATTATACGAGTTGTCTATAATATTTGCAGTTTTCAGTTTCAGTTATTTCTTTCTAACTATGGATAGTGTGAATCATAGTTTTATCTACGTTCTCCCATAATATGAAATCAAATACATACTTGTTATCGTCTATCGTCGATGATCGTATCTGTCTGTCGTTAATTAAACACTCGCCTTGCTATGCAATTCATTGGGTCGTGAACGTACCCATTTCGCAGAAATAAAGTTACCTTTTTACACGAAGTTTTGTAGAATCCTCCTTTGTACGTGTCATTGTTAACAGACAAAGGTGCCTGCAATTTCAATGAATTTCAAAAACGAAAAGAGATTCATTTTCACACGATTTTCAGAGAACTTTTTAGATGGAAATCTGTAGCGCTTCGAATTTATGGTATACGATACGCTTGTTTGGCAAACGAAATACTTCTAAACTGACACTTTGAAGCTGAACAGTAATTTTCGGTATCAAAAGTGAACTTTCGTATAATGGAATTGTTTAATACATAACAGTTTAAAGGATCCATTGACCTTCTCATATTCTGAAAGCACATTTCAGCATTTCACCTTCAGCGTGGAACAATAGCTTTGCTCGTGATTTGCCTTGGAATTTCGGAGTTCACGTGGTTCGTTAAATGTCAAGCCTTTCGCTATTTGAGGTCGCTATTATTTTTCTGACGATATAGCACTCGATATACGGTAGCATTAACTGGTACAAATATTTATGTTTTGTATTTAACTGGTAAATTAATATGAATGTCTAATATATTTAAAGAAATTGTCGTTGTTCAATTTGTATACCAGGCTAGGCATTTAACGTTATCATCGAACGAATTTTCACATTTTTTGACAACACGATAAAACGATCGTGGGAGAAATTGATTTGGAAGACGAATGGTTCTTTCAAGCATTTATTTAATAAATGAATTTTACCAACTACCGAATTTGAGGCGAAAATTGTGTGCATTTATTTTGATATTAATTACGCGACGATCACTATCATCCAACTGACTTTCCCGGCTACAGAAATGTTTATTTCAATTTCTCGATATTCTTTCAGATTTTTAACATTTCATACGGATAAATTTGCATTAACGGGACCATCATTGTACGCACATTAATTAATCGATAAAGGAATTGAGAGAAATATAATTCTGATCGTTTCTCGAAATAATATTAAATAATTTATTTTCTCATTATACGTTAAAAATAATGCTCTAGGCGCATGTGTATTAAATAACAGACGAGTTAAATAATTCGTCGTGAAATTCGAAGAGAAATAACTCAAATTTCCTCATTTGCATTCGTTATCTATTAATTAAATAAACGCATGATTCTTCCTAAATGTAATGCGCTTTTTAATCTAAAATTTTAGACAAAATGAAAAATTCTTTCGAACCTTAATGAAAAATGTTTGGTAACAAATGAGTTTTGTCTCAAATTTCGTAAAATAAAGGGACAAAATTTTCGAAATTATTACACATTTCCCTCGTGTACTCGGATACTAATTGTAAGTGATATTCATATTAGCGAATACACGCGTGATAATGTTGCAACATATGAATTCTCTATGTAAAATAATCAACTGTAGCCACTGTGTTAGTAAAACAGCAAGGTTCTAAGTGGATCGTTATGTGCTCATTCTCATTATTTTAGACTTTACGACGCAGCTAATGATGCACAGTATCGCGTATAATTATTCGAACGATAGTGAATTCTAATTTTACTCTAGTATAATTATATTTCGAGTTAGCAAATTTTATTTTGGAATTGTTTGACGCGGTTCCCGTTATTAATTGAAAATACATTTTTTAAACAGTTTATTATATATTTAAAATTATATTTACGACATATCTGAAGCAGGTATATGTATATTCGTTTTGAGATATTGAACGTGTTTTTTAGTCATGGAAAGTTCTATTACTGTACCCTTTAGGGCACGTCGCCTTTAAATGAAAAATATCTCTCTATTCGTTGTACCTTTGCCTACGAAATGTGCATTTCAAAAAGATGAAACACCACTTCGTGAATATTCCGAAAGAAAAATTAAGAAGCGAGCTGTGCCCTGGAAACTATAGCGCCACGAGTCATCTGCTTTAAAATTTGACTATTTTGCCAGAACGTTGTTGCCTTAAAAATATCTCTTTAAAAAAGCTGTTTCCGTCGACATTAATTAAAAGATTAAAAGCTAATTTTTCGATATCATCCTCGTATTTTCGTAAATACAGAAAGACAGTGGAATTAAAGGTCACTAGTACCCGTAACCTCTAGCGAGGATTTTTCCAGACTTTGATAAATGACCGCGCAGTTAGAAAAGAAGGAATCGCGTCACGGTGTGTCGTCCGAAAATGATTTATGTAAGCGACGAATCACGTTAAATATTTCATCATATTTCTTCTGCGGCCGTTTGTCAAGTTGGATCTTAAGGGATTCGGGACTCGGATGACGTTTTGATGCCTCGCGTTGTAAGGTACGGATCCTTCGAGCCAAATTCTTAATTCGACGATCCTTTTCGAGAGACTGAGTGCACGAAACGAAACGCAGAAAAGGTGCACCCAAGTCTTCTAATATGTTTGATTTCTGTGTCTCGTAAAGGATTTATGGAGATTGCAATAATGATTCCAGTCATCCACTAGTTCGTGCTACGTGTCTGAATTATAACCCTTGACTGCAATCGACGTAACCGTTCCATCGTATTCTTCCCGTCTATAGAGTCTATTAGTCTATCGTGTAAGGACGTTTCGCGTTCGCATATTCCTGGTTATCAAAGTGGACGCGTAGACCGGGGTGTTTGCTCACAGTACACATTACGTGCGTGTGAAATAGATCGATAGGAAATGTGTCTCGATTACTGGGTCTAGTTCAACAGAATTCTATAGTAGATCGTGCTAGTATAGGCATGCAATCCGTTCGTGTCTCCTAGACCGACAGTGACCTTACCGTTGCACGTGATATTTTCTTTTCTGCTTTTTTTTTTTTCTTTTTGTTCGTTCTTTCATTTCCGTCCTTCCCTTTTTCTCAAACACTCGTCGTCGCGCGAAACGACCACGGTTAATTTCCCAGCGACGCGAGAACGTGTCTTCGTACGAGTTTTCCGCTCTTTTTCCATTTAAATGTCAGGCCAAGCGCCGTCGTCGCCGTGTATGTCACGTAATCAGTCTTTATTTAATCCTTCCCGAGGCTTTAAAGGAATCTAAAAGTTCACCTCGTCCGAGGCTCTAATTAATAACTCGATCGATGGTAACGTTTTCTTCGCGATGCAGTTTTAAAGATGTTTTCGATAGGTATTGTTAGATGTCTCGATCAATGTCAACGTTCAAGTATTTTTTAAAAACTGATCGCTTTTTAAGTTTCCGTCTATAGTAAAACTATTCTTGTTATTCAACTTCTGTCGTTTGTACTGAAAAAACTTAGTCCAGAAACAGTACAAAAAGAATTTTCATGGTCATGCAGCTCGAAACAAGTTGCTCATCGACGACAGAAATAGGAAGAAAGGTTTGGAGTTTGCAAGAGAATTATTTCTATTTTATATGGCTGTTATCAACTATTATTTGCATGTACAGTTCTGAAACTTTGTGTGGGTGAGAGGCAACGATTATTTTACTAACGCGTTCTGCATTTTCTTTGCAGAGCTGAGAAAAGGACCAAGCTTTTTGGAGTACTTTAGTCGAAGCTGTTCAATTCGAGGACCTTTGTGATCTGGGCATGGTCTTAGGGACGACGGCGGGGCGATGACGCTCTACCACCGTCCGTCGTCATCGTCAGGAGTCCCTCAGGACTCGCCCAGTCTCCCTTATCGGTGTTTGGTCCCGATCCTAGTCTCTAATAGCGAACGTTGCTGCTGCTATTCATCGAGGAAACTCGCGAAGACGAACGCGGTTTGTACGTTCGTGAGGAGGCATGAAGGATCGACCTCATCGACCTTACCGAGATCACGGGCAGGCGATGCCCCTGGAGGAGGTTCAGGGATTGCTACTTCCACCCTCCAGAACAGGTGAGACGCCTCTTTCAGCAGCATTGGATCAAGCATTTATTTTATGAAGCTATTACTTGCAAACGTTTTCTAAACTCGATGAAAGAAACACTTACTACAGTAACGATTCTTAAAATGAACACGTGATTCGTAAATTGAACATTTCTATCCTTCTCAACTGGAAGGATCTTTCTTAGAGCCCAGATTTCGCCATCTGGCATTTAAAAACCACAGCTTATTTACTCTAGAAAGATATTTCGTAAAAATATGCTATTTACCATGTTAAATTATTTAATAATATAATAGTATACAATCATTCTGACTAAATTAAAAGAAATAATTACAGTAAAGTTGTTTTAATGTTATATAGTTTATACAATTTTACTAACATTTATGGATTTTCCGGAAAGAAATATTGTTTTAATCCTTATTATATGAATTAATTGTCTGCAATTGTTTGTTGGTGCCGAAATTCGCCTTCGCTGTTTGAAAAACGAACATACAAATCCCAGAGCGATGTTCATTTTACGAATCATCACTGTACACTTGGAAAATGGTCTAGTCCAAATATGACGTCGAATATTATTATTAAAGTGTTGAAATAATCATTATTGTTGCTCTCTTTGAAAGTTCTCTCGTTATTTTTCAAAAAAAACATTGGAAGAAATGAAAGCACCGTTTTAGAATTGCATTGGGAGCTCCTTAATTTTTATCCGACTTTTTGATGGATCAAAACGGAACGCTCTGTATAGTAGTTCTAAGGCACATTTAAAATTTAGTATACGAAGGTATTAATCCATAAAAATGTTGGTTGTAAATTTATATAACGCAGCATTGAAACCGTGTTGCAAAGGTCACGGGTCACGATCCGTTAAAAATTTGTTATCCGAAAATGTGCGTTTTCCATTGAATTTTCATGGAAATCGTGGCGTACCGACGAAACGAAGTGCGCAGTGCGGATATCTAATTTGATGTTCGCCAGTTATGAGAGCCTGGGCATTACGAGCAGTAGTCGAGTCGTAAAATTTTACTGTCCTCCTTTATTAGGCAACACTACACACACGAAGCTTGACCACTCGTGGCATGCAACATTCTCGTATTGTGATATTAAATTGTAAGCAATAAGGGAGCATAGTTCGTCGCGTGCTACGCAAGCTAGCCACAAGGTTACTCGAAAATATAAGAACAATATGTAATAAAATATGCTTAAAAATGTAATCGCGTGTTCTCCATTACACGAAAACGTAATTGCGTTCGCGAGTAAGAAAATGTTCGTTTATCTAAACGGTAGAAGATTGATGGACAACGATTTGCTAACGATTTAATGATCCACTCTCGTATGAAATTTAAAACTACTAAATGTAGATTAGGTAACTCGGTCGTACTTCGTGTACAGTTGACTGTATCAGGTTCGACCTACTACAAACTAATTGACGCGCACAGTGAAATTGATTTGATCCTGACCGTGTAGTATCCAATTTACCACGGATCTCGACAAGCTTCAGCAAAGTCTAATTTAGTTCAGTGGCGTTCAGTCAAATTCATATAGAGCCCATTCGAGTTCAGATAGATTTAATCGTTTATCGCGTGTTTTAACAGTCATCTGGTAAATTAGTTTTGCATCCGTTCGGTGTGAATTATAAGCAAAGCGTATCGTAACGTATCGAGCCGAGTCGGCACATGTTTACGCTCGCGAACGTTTACTTAACCGCGTGCTAACAAATTCATTAGCGAAGTCAGACGAATCACTGGTATTTCAAGCTTAGAAAGGGCGAATAAACAACAGACAAAAATTCTACAAACGTGTAATTCGGTATAAATTCTCTGAATTAAACGATCTTCTTTTTACGAGGTTGTCTTAAAAGTAAAGTGCACGCCAATAAACCGAATGCAATCGAACAGCTAACACTACTCGCGATAGTAAACATACTTTTTGAAATCTGTGAAAAGGTAATAAAATGAGAGAGTTCGAGTTTGTAGAGTGGAAGTTACTTCAGAGAAACTTTTGAATTAGAACATGGATATTCTATGACGTATTTTGTTGAAATAGTAAAGGTTCGAAAAAATGAAGATTTTGTATTGAATAGCAAATAGAATATCACACATTTCTTCATAAATAGTAAATCTGTACAATTTGTTTGATTGGATCAAGTAACTATTTTTTTGAATTATCATAATCTGTGTTGCGAATATAAGACGTACGTTTTCAGTAATGGCCTAATAAGATTAAGTAAACATTTCTGAACGAAAATGCAGTGATAATCCTGTAGCAGGTGCGAACTTGGCTTCCGCGTAATTCCTCTAAAAGCGTTAGTAAAATATAGAAAAACATTGGCTTGAGGTTGTATGGAAATGGAGGATGAACAGTTACACAAGTTTAAGAGTATTATAGTCGCTCGCGAAGCGTTAACAGAATTCTTTCTTTCACGCGCTGTCATAAGTATTTTCGAAATTGCGAGTAAATTAGAAACAAGACACAAGGATTAAGGTTTAAATGGATTTAACTTCGGGTCAGGTTACTCGGGGCTCGGTAAAACGGAGGTTAATTACCACTTAGCGACGTTCGCCACAGCCTCATCGCCTCTTATCGTGTTATTAATTCAATTTATACCAATAATTATAATTAATCGCGAAAGGCCGGAAGAGATAGTGCGATTTTAAACGATTCGATCGACGTTTCAACCGATGGAGACGCGAACGAACACGTATCCATAACAGATCTATTATATTTGGTCGATTATTATACGAGTCGTTTTTCCAAACGAAGATATAAAAAATTACTCTTCAGCGTAGTTTCTGTTCCTCGAACTTCTCTCTAAGCTATGTAAGATTCAGATATAATTAAGACGCCGGCGGTGCTGGACCCGTGCAAACACGTCGTTCCGCGACATTTATTAATATTTGACTTTGAGACGAGCGCGTAATAATTAATTAGTTGGCCCTGGAAAAGTGGCACTCGGTGGCTGGAATATCCCAGGAAACTCGCGTCTTTTTCGACGGGGATCGATTAAAACGGGGTACCATTTTCCCAGATGATCGTAAATACCAATCTCCTGCACGGGTTAATAGGAGCTCCGGCGTTCGTCCTGCGGGAGTGTATTTTTGGCGACGTAGGCTCATTGCGGTTTGTCTGTTTTACGACAGGTAACCGGGGACCTCTGAACGTGACGATTGTACAGGTTGGAAAAGGAAACGGGGACGGTGGAGATGGCGGAAGTGATTTACTGAGATTGGAACCACCGTCGGATTTAAGGCCAAGTCCATCGCCTTTATCCGACATCAGCGCCACGCTGCAGTCCGACAACAATGATACATTTAGCGGAGGTGAGGCGGCACTTATGGCTACTCTTTCGAACGTAAAGATCCACGTGAAAACGAAAATTTATGATAGCAATGTAATCGCGAAATGGCTTCGAGATTCTACCCGTATGAATCAGAGTATTTAATTTACAGGCGATTGGGAATGTACACCGAGTGAGGAAAGTTAGGTTTTTGTGACTTTAGATTCAAAGATTTTGTTCAAAATAATTTTGTCAAACTTTTTAACCCTTCGCTGTTCAAGAATTGTTTTTGATACGAACGACTAGCAGCTGAAAGTTGGAAGTTTCTTCTTAAATTCTTTATAACTTATATTTTACTCCTTTGTTTGGTTAATTTAGTCTGCGTTATTATAAATTAAATTTGAATCGATTTATGAGTGCAAAGGGTTAAAATTGATTTGGCTGATACAGTATAAAAAAATGGAAGAATTATCGGTTTCAAGAAAGTAATAATTCTTTTGAGCGGTAGGGTATGTAGAATATTGTATAAATGAAGATTAGAAAGATAAAGGTGGCGGTCGACTTCAAGTGTAAACTCCCATTCCAAACTCACCAGGGGCTTACAATGGCAAACATAGAATAAGGTCGAATTGACATTACGAAACGATGTTAATTAGAGAATGAAGTTAACGCGTATTAGCCTTCTGTCAGTCTCGTAGAAATTGCAGAGAGCAAACGACAAAATACATAAAATTCTAGTTTAAATAAAATAGTGCAATACGAAACTTTAAATGTTTCTTAAACGATGGCAAAATATTTGCGTATCGCTCGTTGGAGATAACGACGATAATTATTTTGCATTTTGTGCGAATGTAAAATTGAACGAAAGAAAATGGCGCGAAATTATTTTGCACGTTTGAATGTTAGTGATCACGGATATCGGATTTGGTTACACGCGGGCACCTTTAATTCGACGGTAGATTGTTTTCACCGGATGGAGGTCCATGTGTGTTTACTTGTCAATAATTGGATTACTTACAATCCGTGGTCCGCGTTGAGGTTAGTACGGCTTTTTCGCGGATACGGTTGACAGTTTCACGCGGTGGAACGGCGAATAAAAACGTGCATCGTTGCCGATCGAACGAATCGCGTTTGTCTGTTCGATAAATTCTGCCTCGCAAGCTCCGTGAATTTTTATTTCGACGAATCGATCGAACCACGCGTCCGTCGGGGGCCTACCGTGAAAAAAAATGCGTTCTGATCGGCATTCGAAATTGTATTTCCGTCGCTTAATGGTCGATTATATTACGAGCGTGGCTAGAAACGAGCCTTTCTCAGTGACGCGTCGTTGCACTTACATTTATAAAAAGTAATTGATTAAATGTCGATTCAATGTTTTTCGACTTCGAGATCATGAAATCGGCGAATAAGAGAATTTTTACGGTTGAGTGTGCAAACGATGGGAACAATAATATCACTGCCATACAGAGAAAATATTATAGACACTCCAGTATTCGTAGCCAGAATTTTACACAGATAAGTATTCGATCGTTGATCTTTGGTTTATTAAGGGGAGAGACTCAACTAAAGTGTTCCGTCGAGAAGCGATATTTGATAATTTTTTTATAGCATAAGGGTTTGATGAAACTTTTCGCCACTTTCCATGTATATTCTGTAACATTTCAAGATTCGACAATTTTTTTTTTCGTTACATTTTATCGGCTTTTAATGATTTAATAAATGTTATTGCAAATGCAAAATTGTAGAAGATATGCGGCTTTGAACACGATAAAATGATTTTTGCAACAAATTTATAATTCAATTATGCAATAAGCACAGTTCAAATAATTATTATTATGAAGCCTGTTAATCCTTCCGACGAAGAATTTAGTAATACGTATGCAATCCTTGACCCAGCTTAATGTTTCCGACACGCCACTCTCACCAACTATTAGTTCATTTTAAAATTTTTACACAACATTCTTGAGATGTAAAAGCATTGTTTTATGAAAAAAAAAATCGATTCTATTGATCCGTTACTTGAGTCTTCCCCCTTAAGCAGGATTGTTACTACGAAATAATATCAGTATCAGAAAATATTGCGTAACTATGATGAAGCATAATTCCATGACTTTGCCAGTTTCACAACTCGTTTCAGGACTTTCTTATAAATTACAGCGACAACTACATCGAACCATCGAAGCGTGTGTCTATTATAATGTATGTACTTTATTATATGCAGTGTAGGGTGGAGAATATTAATGACAACCTTCTAGGCTAGGAACAAGCCCTTTTTCAAAGGGGATGTTACAAATGAGGCTATCTTTCGGGCGGAGCACCGTCATAATTCGCTACGTTAGGTCTTTTTCAATTTCCGCTATTGCACGTTCCTCTTGTAGTTTCCATTTCTAAATATTACTAGGAAAGTTGACCAAATTGTTTCGAACCGAATATTTTATTAATTGCAATATGTGTTCGTGCACCAGTTATACTTCGTTGTTTCAAGATTCGAAATAGAGTTTCTGTTTCGTATCGTATTCAATGAGCCTCTCGTAGCGCGTACGGTTCCGTTTAATTTGAAATTCTGAATTAGTTTAGTGTCGCGATCGGAGTTAATTCTTCTGCCCGGAGACAACGGCAGCCGCGGAAGTTTGCAAGCTCTGAGATTGTGGCTGGAAACGTCGCTGCATACGTTATCGCTTTCGAAATGTTTAAGTGAAAATGTTTCCTACAGTACGAGGATGGAAAATTGCTCGCGAAGATTTCTAAATTTCCACGATACTTCGTGCATTATTATTCGAAGATCGATGTAATTTTAAATTAATAGATATCGCAATGAACCACTTGGATTTTCCGATATTAGTGTGCTTTATTATATGCAAACTTTCATTACGTTGTTTGGAAACTCCTGAACGTAAAACTTCTTCGAAGAGAGCTTATTGTCGGATGAGTTTCTAAGAAAGTTCGTGCATTCGATAGAGTGGAATTAAGTTTTAAAGTTACTTTCTCTTATCAAATAGTCTTGGATAGAGGATATATATACGAAGTTCATTTATATATTAAAAATATGTACTTTTTACCCATCAAGTTCGACGTAGAAATTCTTATTTTAGAAGCTACTTTTCACAAGAAATTCTTCAAGTAAGATTTTTCTAAGTAATCTAGCAGATAGTATTCAAGCGGATTTAAATCTGAGCCTGCCAGCCAGCCAGTCTTCATTGTTCAATGGCCATTGTTGAGCTTTTTTCCGCTTGTAAGGTGGACTAAATTCCTGATGGAAGATCTACCTTTGTCTTTGAAAAAGAATCGTACCCAGTGGGGTTACCACCTGCCAGGTCATCTCTTCGGTAGTCTTTGGCCCAGGTTCTAATGCATTCGAAACGTCAAATTCGTGAAACCTATAGGAATCATAATATATAAATAATAAGTATTGTACGTAGAGATTATTCTTATTTAATTACTAGACTTGGAATGACTTCCGAATCACATTTTCTATGTGGTGAATTTCTCAAACCTTTCCATTACTTAGAATCTAATAATCTAGTACGCTTTATCTATACGAGTAGACCTTATACTTTATGGACTTTCGTGACTCAATCCCACTAGCATACCGACGTGAATTGAGAAATTTCAAATCGTTCTAAACAAATTATTTTTAGTTGCAGGGGTCAATTACAATCATTTTTGGTCAATAGACATACCCTTGAAATCGTACGCACTTTCGAGAAAAAAATTCGTAGGTGCTGAAATTTTTCGGCGAAATTAAAAAATTTCAAAGCGTTCTGAAAAAATTATTTTTAATTGAGGGTGTCGTTTACAATCATTTTTAGTCAACAGACATACCCTCGAATTCCTAACCATTTTCGAGAAAAAAATTCCTTACCGAAAATATAATTTCACGCCCCGAAATGTCACTCCAAAATTTCGTGCGTATCTTTAAAACGTCATAACTTTTGAATGGATTAAAGGATTTTAATGTTTAAAAATGCAAATAACGTGTATTTTAGTGAAGAATATGTAGAAATTCTAACAATATTGAAAAATTTGTTCCTTGACCCCGTAAAGTGAGAAAAACCACATAAAAATGATCCAATTTTCAAACAGCCATAACTCCTACTATAGTGAATATATTTCAATGAAACTTTTTTCTGAAGTAAAGCTCATGGGTACATACAAATAAGTATTAGACAACTTTTCTACAGGGCGTCAAACAAAATTACTAAAACTGAATATCGAATTTTCAAGAAAAATCAACAAGGGGATGCCTAAATTTTTCAACGAGAAAAAAAAATTTCAAATCGTTCTGGAAAAATTACTTTTAGTTAAGGAGGTCGATTACAATCATTTTTAGTCAATAGACATACCCCCGAATTCCTAACCATTTCCGTGAAAAAAATTCCTTACTGAAAATGTAATGTCTGACCAAACATGACATGTTTCACTGAAATTTCATGCGTATGTTTAAAATATCGTAACTTCTGAACGGATTGAAGGATTTTAATGTTTCCGCAGGCAAACAACGCATATTTTGTTGAAGAATATGTAAAAATTCTAAGAAAATTCAAACAGTTGTTTCTTAACCACGTAAAGTGAGAAAAACCCTAGAAAAATGACTAGGCTTGGAATGACTTTCTATTTACATTTTTTACGTAGTGACTTCCTCAACCCTTTCCATTATTTACAATTTATTAATTCAGTATAGCTTTCCGTACAGATTATTATCAGTTTACAATTTTTTTACGTTCGGTTTCCCTCGTCACGTAAACATTTTTATAACCGTGCCTTTACGACCATTTCACCCTATCGCTCGACAAAGTTACGTGCGTTCCCCGATCGAAGATTTTTAAATTTCCGATTCGTCGGTATCTATCGGGTGCTTGACGTTGACCCGGGCTTTACGTATCTTCAGGTGTCGATCCAAGATTGCTGTTGGGTGGCACCGGTGGCGATCGTAACACGTGGGAGGGTCGTTACCACATGAAGGAACATCGACGTGCTGGAAAAGCGACTTTCCAGGGTCAAGTTTATAACTTCCTGGAGCGTCCCACCGGCTGGAAGTGCTTCCTATACCACTTCTCTGTGTGAGTATTCAGAAACGTTTTTCCCTGCTTTCGATATATCGTAAATGTTATCTGCTTTATCCTCACTCGACCTCGTCGCCATATTGAATGCATTTATTTCTCTATGCAAGTGTAACAGAAATCGTTGGTTACTGATTGACATTCGAATTATATTGATATTGGACAGAGAAAGAACCGGGATCAACGATTGGCTAAGTAAGTCTTGTTGATCGTTGGGGGTTTCTGCTCGCAGAAGGTCGAATGTTATCGATCGCTGTCGTATCTTGTGCTTGCAAGTGTTTGCAAACTAAAATGTGCAATTTCTGATGAAATTGTACAATTTGTAAAATATTGAACATTGCATCCTAACACTGTTTCGCACAGTAAACAGCTATGCAATTTCTTTTAAACAATATGCGAAATCGGAAGTTCGAAATATAATCCATCATTCGAAATTTAAAGAAAATAGAGATTAGAAATTGTTCAATCGTGCTTCGAGGCGAATCTAAAACCAAGGTCGAAAACGTTCCTTTCTCGATACAATGCTGCTTGACTCGGTTACAAGAAATATGAGTCGATGAATTAAACATGTCCCTGAATGCAAAGATTTCCCTTATCGATTATCACTAAAGGTATTTATAACGGACATCGAAGTATATTCGCGAACAATCGGTTACTTTATTTTAAGCAGTTTCGTTTGGATGCTGTCTCTATTGTCGATAAATCAAACCTGGATTAATGAGGCACCAAGTTCCGTTGCGTATATTGTCTACCGAGGACGATGTCGCATCAATCTTTATTGTCAGTTAATAAATATCGAGAAGACGGTGTTTTGGGAAGATTGATGGTGCCAATAGAATGTTTCTTCGATGGTATTATTCGCCAGTTTGTTGTTACAAATATGCAGCCGTTGTGAATGTAAACAGATTCGTTCTTAAACAAGCGAATTATACAATAGTTCAGTTTATGCAATTTCGTCTCTGTTGATATTGAAAATGTATCGCTAGCAAGACTACTCGATCGATGAAACTGCACGGATTTGTTGCATTTACAAAAATTTAATTTAAAAATACGATCGATCACTGGCTTAGAATTTAATATTATTTTTGCGAAAAACAGTTAGCGACCTCTAAGAATATAGTTCTGTTTTGACATACTTTATCGAGCCATAATTATTTGTGCCGTTTTATCATCAGTTGTGTAGTTTTACTGGTCGGACATAGAACCGAGTGCTGTAGGAGGCGAAAACGACCTTACGACTAGAAATTTTATTACAGAAACTATATTACAAGACAAAGCTATTTGATCACTTGTTATGTGCACGTATTATAACACTATGTAATCAAGTATGTTGTACTGATTATACATTGAATCTACCAGGGTTGTATGACTATTGATCGTGATATACAAACCCGTATTTGTTATACGGTTTGTAAAATACTAATAAGTTTATAATAACCATAGTTTCGAATTTCAAAAATTATGAGTCCTTGAGTAACGATGTAATATTAAAAACTCAATGTCTCCTGAAGTATTCAGTCTTCGATGACCTTACGTTTAAAACGTAAACTGAGTTAAAGAATAGATTCGTGTAGAAAAATTAGTATGATTACGAATCTACTAGTTTCACTCAGCGTGATCGTGTTGACGTTATGCTGACTTTCGAAAAGCATTTCTCTTGTATTTTAGTTTCGTTTTACCATCTGGAATATGAAACGCGTCGCAACTATATCACCGACGAGCCTACTTTTGAGAACAATTTCATTCTGAAAAGGCCTGCGAAGGAAGTTCGCGAAAGAAGTTTTCCCATTCTTTGTTGTTTCTTTCTGACAAAACTTCTTACCAGAAGCGTTCAGTTTGTATATCGTTTTACGAGTAGAACTTGTAGAGATTCCTTTCTAGATTTCAATACCATTAAATTGATACCTGAAAGTCAGAATTTCATTTCTAAGACATACTTATTATATTTCCATTGTCTATAATATCGAATATCTTGACAATTCCGAAATTTTTATTCGATAAACTATTCAGAGTCAGTATAAAATGGAAAAGTCCAGGATGATTATCATAATTAATTTGCACGATAAACTAATATTTTTTTCTATGCAAATATTTCTCTATTAATCTCTTTCAACAGAGCTCAGAGATATTAAATTTATTTACGTTTCAAGAAATTTTTGTTGGACCATAATAATAAAGTTTTTATCGACGGTCGTGAAGTGGTCATATTTTAAGGAAATACGAAGCAGACACGTTGAGACTGTGGGGATCGATTAACGTGTTCGTTGTTTATAAAGATTCGTAGCCATTTCGAAAGACTTACTGGCTCTTCGCGTAGATGGCGCGTTATACACCGACTTGCATCACTTGGTCTGATCAATAGTCTGGCTGTATCACTTACCAAGCGTGCATACAGAAATCTGTAATTTAATTATTCGTGATCGTTTTAATCGAAAATTTATAACAAGGCTGACATCGTAAATTCCTACAACCCTGTGTACAATATTATTTTTTCAAAGTGTAACAATTCAAATATTGCGAAAATTCAGATTTTAGATAATTTTCGTTGCTGAATTAAAATTAATCGAACGTCCTGATTTATGCAGAATCACGATTCAATTACGTATTATGTTATTCGCACGTTCTCAGTTTGTAATTTATCTTTTTTTCACCAATGTTTAATTTTATCTATTTTCATAACATTCTATTGTAGTTTAACGTAATGATAAACTAGTGTTGGATAAGAAGTTTCTTTCATCCCCCCAAAAAAGGTTCTCAACCAGAATCAAAACGGTTAAAATGTTTAATTTTAAATTTTTAATTTTGTCAAAAATTATAACGACTATAAAAAAATAAATAAAAATTTATCACATCTGTTGGCGGAAGTTCACGATGAGCAAGTTTCATAGGGGTTGCGAATCGCTGGTTTATAGAGATTAATGGCCATCGAGGAATCGCGTACTGAAAAGGTAAAAAGGATAGCATTCGTTTCTTTTCTCCCCCCTGCTTTCTATTTGAGCTTATTTCTCACGTCCGAAGAATATTGATATTCTTCTTCTCCGATAAACCACAGCCATAAATTAAATAGCATTGATGCGCGGCGCATTTTCACGAGATACATTATGTTTGGTGAAAAATATACGAGGGTCAGTGTCCCAGGTGGTATTTCGTTCGTCGAACGATGGTTGTAAACAACATTAGGGGGAAGTAAATCTGTCACTGTGCAGTCACGAGTATATATGCGACGTCGAGTGATATCGTCATATTTTGTGCGTGACTTTCCGACAAAACTTTCCATTTTCCCTCCACTGTTCGCTGGGAAAGCCATGAGATACAATTTCGCTCGAACAGTCGCTATATTTGCTATTCCGAGCGTGAAATTTTCGTGAATATTAGACGAGTTCTCGATGCATTTCAATATTTATTTGTGCCCTGTACAGACATATTTTTTATACGTCATTTTACAAATTAGTTTATGTTGTCGATCGGTTTAACACTAGATTCATGGACATTGGTTGCATATATTTTTATCGAAATTCGTTACATTGACGGTTTTTCTTTTTATTAGGTTATTCGTACCATTGCATCAACTAAATTCAATATAAATAGCTAACAAATAATATTTACGAGTTTTATAATTATATATATAGAATTTGAAACCTGTTAAATCTATCGTTGTTGTGGAACGAACGTGACGTAAAGTATTTTGTAACATTAATTTATTAAGGCACAGTACAAAGAACAATTTCAAGCACGATGATCTATGGTCCTCTGTCGACGTTTTGAATGCAAATGTATTCCTGTGCAATGCCACGGCTGGTTTCCCGTACGCGAAAACTCCGCATATCCATGTTTGATGTTGTCATCATTCTTGAATCACCTCCAGAAAGTGCGCCATTGCTTGGAAGAAAGGGTAGTCGAACGAAAAGAAAACTTTGACATATACTTTGGATGAATGCTACAATGGTTCTGATTCGTATAGTTCTCTCACCAATATATCTTGGATATATTTTCATAATCATCGTAAAAAGAATTTTCCAATTAATTAATAGACTAACAGGGTGCAAAGTGATTGAAACTCACCTGAAATATAGGAAGAACCCCAGTACAAACTTTCTTTTATCAGGTAATTTTCTTAGTCAGTGTCGATTCGTATAGCGAAATGTCGGTTCTAGAAACGTCGTTCGTTTCGATTGAAATTAATAGACGAGTTTCGTAATGTGGGCCAGGTTTGCGTATCCTGTACGATTCTAAGAAAAGAATCACGAAGCGTACAATTAAGTAATTTACCACGTCCATCGGAGGTATTCGTGAGGCGATTGCTAGCGTGCCAAGTTATTCAAATTATTCAAATTGGATCATGCGACGCCTGCACGATGTGTACTACACCCTACTTACATATATATATTCCTCGGAGGGTAGAAGTTCTTCGCGTGAGGAATGTTTGAGTCGGTGATAACCGTAGTTTCACGCTACTGTGGAGGGAAACTGCCGCAGAAAAGTATACTGACTCGTTGTGGAGCACCTTTTTCGGTTCAAAGGGGAACACGTACAAAACAGGGTCAAAGCAATATTATGAAACACGTACCGGGTGCTACAAAATATGGCACTGCAAACTTTTTTATGACGTGTACAAAGCGTTCATCAAGAAGATGGCCTTACCGAGTAAAGATGGTTTTACGAACGTTGTGTCGAAATGTATCCTTAAACTGGATTCCACGTGCGCGAAGCACATTAACTCGAAGGTTCATCTTCTCGTTGAATTTTAATTCTGTTTAAAATGCGCACGAACAGGCTTATCGATGCCCAACCAACATTATTTTAACGATGTAGATCACTATATTCTGCAATGTATTTAGATTCTACGGCTGCAAGGTCATGCAAAATGAAACTACACATTATGGCCGTTCTCAGCAACGTGGCTGTGCATTATAGACGCACGTTAGCGGACTTTTCGTTCTAGATTTTTAAGAAAATGTCTGAAAATTCGTGTAATTTTAGCGGTTGTAAATCGAAAGAAAGAGT